GAATTGCTAAAGAAATCAATAAATTGTTAATAAACTAAATTACTTGAATACTAACAAGCTAAGAAACATTTTGAAGTGTGATGAACAATTTTGAATAAATGCAATTAAAATGCAATTTAAATATCACGTGTACCATAGAAATGTGCAAAAAGCTTTAGACAGTGTGCAAACGTTTATGTTTAGCTATCACTCCTAAATATAAAACAACGTGTGTGAACGATTACTTTATACTGGATATTTACCAGAGAAATCCAAACAATTCCAAATTGAAATGTAAGCAATATTTCAGTACTTCATATCTGTAATCCTCATTAAAATATTTACTAGTAGAAGAATCTGCAGCAAAACATCTACGTTTGACAACCTAAATCACACAAGATTAAGTAACGAGAAACGTTCGTTGATTGCTCCCTCCCCTTATCTAATCTACTCCTAAGTAACTGTATTCTTTGCTAATTGCAAGCAACTAACAGTAATTAACGGACTGAATTTTTTAATTAACTCTTCAATCTTTCTAAACAGTTAACATTCACCTTACTCAATTATAATAATGCGAAGCACTAACGCCGATAGTACCTATGAAATGAAACACAAACATCAAAATTTACAACATTCATAAGATGCTTTGATTATGGCGATGACCGGGGAAGAATACCGAGAATCTTTATGTAAGATCGAAAACAGAGGATAATGTAAGAGAACCGGAGAAATGATTAAAAAAAAAAAAGAGGAGCGATGTAGAGTACTGCACAGAAATTAAAATACCCCAAAATGATTCATCGAAACACGAATAAAAACAAACGAAAGAACCAGCCAAACAGCCAGCCCATCATCCATCCATCCATCCAAAACCGTTCCGTCCCATCCCGTCTCGTCCTGTCCCGCCCGTCCTACCCATCTAAACAAAACTTGCACGCTCTCATTACATTAAGTGAATAACATTTTTTGAAGAATTAGATACATGTGAAGAAAAAAAAATACAATATCGAAATGTCTTTAATTTACTTGGAACACTAATACATATAATACTCAAGCAACCAACCAACCACAAACATAAATGACTAATTTTTCAGTTAAAGAAACTCTTCACCCCTCGCCGACTCTGCTGCTAATTGCTAATGCCGGAACTCCCTGCGCAAACTAATACAGATCGATTGAAACTCCTTAGCTTGTCAAAAACAACCCTTTTTTATACTTACACAACTGAAAGACCCTCCCGTCTCTCTGTCTAATAGACGCTTGTCATTTTGAGGATTGTTTTATTATTCACTTATTGGACAAAGTATAACATACACAACTCAACCTCGCCTAAACAATCAGAAAAAGTTGAATTTCTACAAATGCTACAGTGAACCAGAAAATTTAGTGGGTCAGCTCTTCCAAAAGCACAAATACACGATGTAACTTCGACTAAACAAAAATCCAAACAACTTCAAAGACCTCAATTAATGCCTCACTTCCTTAAAGGTTATTACATTTCAAATGCTTTAAAGCAGCAATACACAATTCGTAGACTATTATTGGGCAGTCAAAATTACTTCGGAACATTACAAGCCTTACGGTAGTAACAAATTGACAAATCAAAGCTAGCAGGTGTCTTCACACAATCAAATGTCACTCACCGCATGATCGACACATTTTTCCTGGAATCTCACCTAACAGAAAAAAAAACTTCGCAGATTAAATGTGAACAACTCCTGTTTTCAATGAAACATCTAGATTGCGCAAAATTAAAAATAATGAGACAAATCATGCAGTGACAGTCAGATCATAACTTCGCCATCTCGCAAAGATAGCCTGGTAAAGACCAGCTAAGGTAGCTATGACAGGATAAGAGAGCAATATTTATAGGAATCCTTATACTGGAGGTTCACAAATGTAAGACATAACTGTAGTTCTTCCCACGATCTAAATAATAATTGAGATGTGGAAGAAAATAGATCAGCGATTTATGTATTTCAAATATTATCACCTACCTTGCTACGGAAAGCGTTTAAAACACTAATCCTGTAAGAAATTCCTGAATCTTCTGGAAAAAGTTACTAAATTCTACATGGAACAGACCGTAAAGTATATTTCAACTAATTTGACATGCACACGAATACACACATTTTTGACACACCCATATCTACACATACTTACATATGCACGCACAACACACGTTTGAAAGTTTCAAACTAAACGGTACCAGATCTACAACAAATATCAGTTCCCTAAAATTCTCACATCAATTATCTAATACTTTACATATTTCGGAGCATTATGAAGGAAAGATCAACCTATCATCTTTCCATCCCATGCACCGTTGTAAGACCAACATTCCTTTAATATCAGTTTCGAAAAAAAAATGACACAATTTCGTCAGAAACTTCATACAATTCTAGAAAAATCCATCAGAAGAAAAAAGGGTGAACTTACCAAGCATGAAGATGAGCAAAAATGGCCAACACCAATAACGTCCTTGATAATAGTGAATGCATAAAAAATAACGAGCTGAGAGAGATCTCCCTTAAATTGAAGCCATAGCAGGAAGAATAGTGGCAATACTACCACGAACGACACACACTGCGGTCATAACAATACCAAAATACATGTACAATTAACAGATGTGAGGATGACTGTGAAAAAGGGTAATGACGGTGACCAAACGCGATTGTTCAATGACATACATCAAACCAAACCACAAGCAATAATATCACCAGTACCTGTAACATCAATAGTACTAATAATAGAAGTAATAATACAAGAACGAATATCATGTCCACTCCAAATTGTACTATTTATGTTAAATTATTTGGGTTTAGGACTTGAGTATTGAACACCCAGACAAGATATATTTGATGGGATGTGCACAAAAGAGTTCTACCGTAGTCCAATTAACAAGCTCATTCAACCATATCAACTAAAAACGTTATAGGGGAGGATAGAAATATGAATGAAGATTGACAACCCATATCTGCTATCCTGTCTCTACAAGTTCCCAATCAAAAAGAGACATTTCTGTTTGAAAAAATTTCCGCAAAATAAAAAACTAACCGTAGACACAGTTAAATCCAAGTCATTTGTATAAATTGCAGTAATTTTTAGTTGTAAATTTACGATTCACATAAAATTTGTGAGTGTCAGAAAATAATATCACGGCAAATGGATAAAGCAAAAAAGAAATTTAATTTGCAAATACGGAGAAAAGGGAAAGGAATAATTTCAAGTTACCAGCTCTATTTCAAGACTGAGATTACTATTTATTTTAAAAATCAAGTAAGTCGCATACCCACAAATCAATAAATCAGGACAAGATTAATAAATGACAGTGATTTTGTTTATTTTCGTTTTTTTTTTCGATTTAGGTATTATAAAAAAGAGAAATTCATTTCCATATTTCTCAGAAAAAAAAAAGCTTGGCAATTATTCGTAACTAAAAGAAAGAAAAATTCTGAACCAGCCTTGAAACGTACTTTAAATTATTCTGCTACTAACTACTGTGCGCAAAAGTTTACAAGCTTTCTTGGTTGCTTTGTGCTGCCAATAGTTGCTATCTTTCATGGTTTCGCCCAGTAATTCTTCATTTTTCAAATATTTCGAACATTCCTGTAGTACTTTTTCATCCGATGCATATGGTGTCACATCAAAAACCTTAAAATGTATCAGCAAAATGAATCTTGCCAACAATGAACAAGTTTCCAGCGAGAAAAAAGATATTACAACTGTGACAAAAACATTTGGCACAGTTATTGAGCAAATAATCGCTCTAACGCATTTAAATATCCAAACCAAATAATTTAGCTTCCAGCGCATTTTTAAGAAATTTTAACTCATGTAACAGAGGCTGTCATTGGAGAATTCTAAAATGGTATTTCGCAATATCGATAGCGAAAAAAAATTTTTTCACAGCAAAAATATCCTTAACAATGATGGGAAATCGACTAACACATACGAGTTTATGTGCAAATATTTTTTGGAGAGCACCATTTGTACAGTTTGGGAATAGCGGATGACAGCTAATGATTGATGGAAAGAGGACAAAGCTCCAAAATTATTGGACAGAAACGGGAAAACAACCATTAAATACTATGCCGAATGAACAGGCAAATCAATAGCAGTGAATGAAGGAAACCACAAACTAGGATAGTTTTTATTTGAATTCACATATACTAACATGCTGTAGTCGATTTCAAAGTATTTGTTAGCCAAACTTTCCCAAAATGCAACAATCACCAAAATTCATGCTGCAGTTCAGTGCATATTGTTGGATGAAAAAGAGATCTTATTAATAACCTATCTAAAATTCAAACGAACAGCTGAACTACTCCACTATGGACTATCAGCAAATATGGAACAACAAAAGATGCATTGGACTAAACACTCTACCAACCTGCTATTCCACTGAAGGAAATTACATGAAGAGTATCACATATTTTATAAAAACTTGCTAATTTATCAATTCCTCCCAAAAACAACATGAGGAATTCTTTATTTGAAAACACCACTTAGCTAATGGCATTGTATTTGGCGTATGATGAAAGAAATACATCCCTACATAGTTTGATGAAAACTGCATGGGTATTCCTTTTTCACATATCCGACAAGAGGAGATGATGAAGAAAGATGCTTTTATGTTAATAAAAAAAAGAGGAATTAGTCGGTTACGCCGTTACATACGAAAAAAAAAAAAAAACTCGTTCACTATACTATTTTATAACAAAATTCTATTTCTTCCATAATAAATTTAGGGACTGAATAAGGTCGGAGGAAAAATTTACAATTTTAAGTAATTGTAAAACAGATTGGTGGCATTAGTCCTAAAAAAGCCATAATTTCAATACAATGTTTTTCACGACAAACGTCTTGCTTGATTCACAAAATAACGGCAACTCTCCTCACCGAAACCGTTTTGTTATTAAATATCTGAGATCTGAGAACAACAGCTTAGAAAAATAATGATTCCGTAACGAACCTGCAAAGCGAATATCCTCCATATAGTCAGTTGCAAAGCACTTAATCCTCGCATTTCCGTATTTTTGGACAGCTCCGTACTATATCGCATAAAGTCAATAATTAATATAGTCATGTAATCGAAAATAGACAATTTTTCTTCACCATTTTGGTGATATGCTCGGGAATTTCCTATACTCAGTATCTAAAACATGGAGTTAAAATAATGAATTGAAAATCTTAATTCAAACTAAAGTATTTCCTCTCCTCCATATCGCTGTACTGGACTTTTTAAAGGAAAACTCAAAATTATTTAAAATTTAAATCAGCATTAATTTGATCTTATTTTACCGTTCTATGCTGTGCCGGCAAATATTCAATACGCGAAAAATTTTCGAAAATATCTTTGCTTGGAATTCGAAAATATTTATCCTGTATGATAGAACCAAGTGAAGCAGAAACACGAGCATAATTTCCTGTGACAACTGAAATTCGTCGATCAAGTATAACACGCACCAAACCAATCATAATGATAATCATGATAAAAGAATGAATCAGTGATAGGACCTGAAACTGTATTCAAAAATTAATGACGCCAGGTAATTCACAAGATTCCAACAAGAGAAACATGAGCTGATTAAACTACATAATAGTTTTGTAACAATGTAAAAGTAATACAAGAATGATGGAGAAATACCACCGCAATAAAAATGTTGAATAACAAAAGATCATTTTCTCCTGATGGTAATGGAAAATGATATGAAGCTATTTAACATCGACTGACTGTATATGCAAGCAAATCTTGTTGCATCCCTAAGCACCTACGGCAAAAGTATTAAATTCTAGTTAAATTAATAGAAATCGATACGGAAAAATTTCTAATTTTCGCATAACACGGCTTATAATTGATAGGGAATATTACTTGTCAGTCTTCAAAATAAAAATACAGTTCGTAAATACAGTAAATATTCAATTACTGGATTACTGCATCGTTGTATTCATTACTGCAGTAATATGTAATTAGCAAAATCAATGTGTGAGTGCACGTATAGGATACCACGGATAATAAGTTTCTCGCAAATATTGTGGGCAAAATTTTACAAGTCATTTTTGATCGAGAGCAAGACTTTGTAGATGTTTTGTGAAGGATTAATTGTGAATTGAAGACAGAAATATTGCGAAATAAAAGATGAGACATATGTAATATAGAAATATTTGAAATAAAACGCACAAAATACGTAGCACGTGAAAATTTCTGGATTGTTCGGAGTTGGGTACTACGATTACCAACAAACGTCGCCGAAAGTGAGGTGAAGAAAACTGTCCGACACAACGAAAGGTCGAACAAAAGGATCTAAAAATAGTCCATTCGTAAAAGAGTAACAGAGGGTAAACCAAATGGGATATTCAAGATTACACCTAAGGGTATTATAAGACTTAGGGAATCTTGAAAAACATTTAGTATTTATGATAACTCATAGGACTGTTCAGTGATTTTAGTACAATGTGTCAGCTGATAGTAATGAATTAATGCAATGAAAAAGGGTGAGAAAATTTCTCGTGATTGCAGCCGTTAAATCATTTCATTCAACTATTCACCACTTCCCACTAGAAAATGAACAAAGGTGACTAACGCAATGTCATCCCATGAACACACTGAGTCCATGCAAAAAGCCTCAGAAATCATATAGTATTTCAAAACAGTTTATACAAATTAAATAATATACAAACTAACCGCCATTAAAGATGAAATAGCTGCCGGAAGTGCTATGTAAATTAAGCTACGCTGTTGCTTCCTACAGTTTCCAACCACATAAACCCCTAAAACACATTTGTTATCGGATAAAGTTCATATTTCAAGATCTCTGAATATTGATTGCTTCCATATCACATCAATATCGGTAATATTTTCGGGAAGACATATATTAATCATTCGTTCGAATATACAGTCTAATTACAAATCAATTTGTAGAAAAAGACTAGAAATCAACCTCCCAAAATTCATATAAACATGCTACCTATGTGGTTCCATCACATGCTACAAAAATATACAAAAATGAGATAGAAAAGTTTTAACCAAAATAACTAAAATATGTTGCTCCATAAAAATAAAATTAAAACCTTGACTGACACCGACAGCTATGGACAGAGCTAGAAGGACACGATGTCCAGTGCCAATAAGTAAAACAGTGACTAAACAGAACAAGAATCCAATCCAACAACCAAACAGCAACTGTGCAATGAAACGGATAATTGAAGTGGATACTACTCTCACCTTTCGATCATCGATAGTTACACTGAAATATGTGAAAAATTATTTGGTAGCCTTTCTTATCCTTTATTATAATTACAGAAAATGAACTATCAGATATAGGATTATCCAATATGAAATTAAAAGGTTTGTAGGTGTCAAATGTAATTAATCAGTAAAATATACAGAATTATTAACGCAGAACGGATATGAAGATGCACTGTTTTTGAGAGAACGCAAACAACCAGGACTATAGTTTTTCCTGAATTAAGGCTAAGTAATCTTATTACAAATTTCCTGATAAAATTCCGAACTAAATGATAATTATTAAACAGATGTCTTGTGGACTGAACTTACATATCTATTTCTTTATTTCGTGCAGCAACCCGGCTATTTAGAATTATTGCATCGTAAAATACCGCAATCAGGGAGAGACCAAACGTCGCGAAATATACATAAGCTTCAAGAGGCTCACGTAAATACAAAAGATGAAAGCCTAACGGTCCACCAAACATCAACAGTAATCGCGTCCGAAAAACATCAAATCCACCATCACCATCAGTGACAACCAACTCAGTTCCCATTAACTTTTTGATTATGATTATGATCTGAAAAGTTGTTCCGTTTAGTGAAGCGTAAATATTATTGAAATTGCCAAAACAAAAACTCACATGGTGAAACTTTCACAACGGAAAGTTGCATAAACTGAATTATTAAAATCTGTTTTTGAAATCATATAGCAAAAATTAAGACAGGAAACAAATAGAAAGCAAAATGAGGATGAAATAACAAGAAAGTACCAAAATGTTAACTCCTAACAAAATGAAGCAAATTCTTTAAGTCCACCACAAAGAGAATCTTTTATTATGATCTTTTCAACAAAAAATAATAACACTATCTTTGTTCATTCCAATCCATTTATAAATAATTATGACAATCACTGTCGTGATAATACGATGACAAAATAACCAAAAATTTCGTTATTACAAATATTAAAGTGTAAAAATAGTATGTGTACTATTACAGACATTCTATAATAGCATGCATAAGCCACATCAGCTAATCTAGCCTTATTTTTTTTTTTTCTCCAATTGTGACAATATCTTAAACAGATAATCATCGTTATACAGCGAATGACTAATGAAAAACTGTATTTTGGATCACATCAAAATAAAATTCTAAATCCTTTATCACCAGATGGCAGTCAACAATGGACACGGAATCAAATCTGTCTCAAACAAAAGGATAAGCTGGAAACAAGCAGATTGTCTAAAACAGCATCTAAATTCTAGATTTTTCCCACTATTATGGAATGACATTTCGAAAATTTGACCCAGAATTAATTTTTGCACTGATCCAGGTGGTTATAGCTGAGTATAGCTAAATACAAAAACTTAAGGTTAATCAGAAGTAGTTTTTTCTCTAAATTGACGAAAATGATATATAGGAGCAATTTCCTATGTGAAATCCCGAATCTTTTGGTTGTACAGCAAGAGAGAGTAACAGAAAATATGGACATATACGACAAATTATTTTATATAAAAAACAGGGAACAAAAATAGAAATAGTTTTTAAACAAACAAACCCAAATTAAAAAATAATAGAGAATAAGACAGTAATTCTGAGAAATATTTTTATGTTCTACTTAATTTGATGTTACTCAGTTTCTTACCTCCTTACAAGCTCCATGACAGTCCCGATTATCTTTCGATGAAAAAAGATATGTTTTGAGAGTCAAACGAGCTCATTTTGTATTCCTGAAGATTTTTTTTTCCCCTCCATAATCATAAGCATTGTTAAGAAGTAACAAGCAATTAAGGAGCACAGTATGTATAAGTTAGACCTGAACTGAAGAAAATAATGCAACTTACTGCCAGGTTAACAAGAGATATATTAAACAAAGTATTTAAACAACTAACAGGATGCGTCTCCCCAACAGAAAAATAAAATGATTAGCAGAACACCAAGTGCGACTGAATTACAAACCAAGAAATACCGTGATGTATACAAAAAATAATCATTACTAATGATACACTGTCATATTCAAGCTACTAAAACATCAAAGAATTTCAAAATGCCCATTTCTACTTTTTTTTCCGTACACTTTTTGATTTTATAAAAACCATAACAAACTTACTCGCACAAATCTTCTAGTCTGTTCAGTACGACAATAACTGCATACTACCGCAGTTTTAATTTCGTTCCCCTGTTTAGTTTCGTCATAAGATAATAGATATAATGAACAAGCATATGTTGGTAAAAGCAGAAATCGGCCTTAGCTACATAATTTGCAAGATGCCAAATTAATTTTCTGCATTAATCAATCTTAACAGCAGCGTAAATTCGGCATAAAAAGGAGTAAGCCGCATAAAAACCAATTGTGCCTGTCAAGATCCAAAATGCTAATGCCATCAGAAAGCTATAACTGAAGTAGAGAAGTGTCGGAATGAAGCCAACGATGTTTAGCTGCAAATTAAAAATTAAACGTGACATGAAAAAGATATTACTTTTTCTTGGAAGTATTGAATACAACTGCAAGATCCTCAGCCAATGCCTGTTTACTAAATACTAACATTCTGCATTAAAAAACCTGACGAGAAGGTGAAGAGATTTTGTAAAATACAATTTTAAAAAAGACATAAGAAATACAATTTCACTAATTAATCACTTTCTCTCGAACTTCAGCGGTCTTCAATGCCACATGTCTAAGCTTTATCCAAGCTTTAGCTAGTTAATGCAAAGTAAAATTTAAAAAATACAAACGAATTTCAAGAAACTCAAAAAACAGTGTGCAATTTACACTGTTTCTGCTCAATAAAATTCATTCTAGAAATATCTGTTCGCGATGTCACAGGGAAATGGACGGCAATCAAAGAGCGGTAAGCAACGAAAACGATGCATAGTTTCATCGTGCAAAATCCAAGAAACACGTGGATCAAATGCACGGTTTGATGAATATTATCTAAACTCCTGTCAAAACCCACTCAAAGCCGTAACCAACTTTCAAGAGCATCATTACCGCGAATACGTAGCAATGAATTAAAAAATACTCGGAACGAATGTGATAAAAGGAGACAAAAGCTTGAACTTACCTTGCTGAAGTAGTAGAACGCTGCATATCCCATAACTGGAAAGGACAAAAATCTTTCAAGTATTGAACAATATCCAACAATAAGAGAAATCATTTCACATCCTAACTGTCTTAAGAGATATGATATATGATCAATGAAACTTTTGAAATTTTTTCTTTTTTTTTGTTCTCTTCAAGTGGTATGAGTACATCTACGCCAATACCAGCTAGAAGCTGTCCTAAATTACGACTTTTTTCACTAATCAGTTAACATACCGTAAACTGCAGATCCACCACTGATAACAAAAGATTTCCACCACCAATGATAATTCTGCAATAGAGCGTGTTAATAAGCTGAATTGAAAATGTGAGTAGAGATATACATACAGATGTATGTTTCGGATATCAGAAGGGTGAATTTTATAAATAAAAGTAAAAAAAGGAAGTACAGTTTCAATTTCAGATTATGAAATTATACAGGAAAATAATGAGAAACATACAAGCTGATTTTTCAAATAATTTCTGAAAAATTCAAACCTCAGCGCACAGAAGGAAGTAAGCTACAACAATGGAGATTTGTGCGCATGATATGAAGAGAATGACACAGACGATAAAGAGAAATCCAAAAAGATAGTAGAATTGATTTTCCCAAATAGCCTGAAAAAAAATCGAAGTGAAATGAAAGTGATGGAAACGGTTGCCACTACAACAGCATTTGTTCCGTTGGTAAGAACTATCAGAACTGCCCAATTATTCAAAGCAGTATGTCCAACGATAATGTTGGCTGATAGAGACTGTAGTAGACAACCGTAGATTCCTGGAAGGAGCTTACAGTGAATTCCGCTCCTCAGTAAGTTTCTGCATTGTTTATAAAGTTTGAGGAATAAAGTTCGAAAGGCTCAAAAGCTAACAGAAAATATGAAGAATAATTCGATGAAACCAGCTCCGAATGGAAGAATCCCCGCAAGAAGCATACATGGTAATGTCTGCAAATACCAAGGTTGTTCTGGAACTTGACGTGGAATTTGGTTTGTACGAACTGGATGCGAATAAGCCTGCAAAGAAAAATGGGTAACTAATAGATTTTCTCAACTGAAAATCTTTCGGAATATGCGATTATGAACATCTTATCCGCTACTGTAAGAAATCTCCACCCATCAACTACGTCTCATCTGAAAAAATGCTGATCTTTATTTTCCAATGTGCAAAAACATACCTGCTTTCGAAAACCAAAATGAAACCCAAGGAATAGAAGCGGCAGGTCAACCCCGAACCACAGAAGTAGGAGTGCTATCATCGTTGTAAATGGTATAGCTCCGGATGAATGTTTTCCAATCAGGAAGAAGTTTAGCAAAAAGCCGGTACCAAGGATGATTGAAGGGAAAAGCACAGCTGTTCGGAATGCACATTTTCGAGGGCTTGTGCCTGACAACAAATTATTTAAAAATAATTAACTATAGAAGAAAATAAACATGAAACAATTTAAAAACATAAATAAAACGTCTTCTTAACTGCATGATTCACTATTCAAATGACCCAGGAAAAAACAAAAACTTTAAAACATTCATATAGAAAAATTCTAACATTAAATGCGAATTTAAAGGGAACTTTAGTACATCTTTACTCCGAATGAAATAATTTCTTTTAGAAATGAGAAAAATGAAGTTAAAACTTATTTTTGGAAATCTTCAGACAGCAACAAAAAATAACCTTTCAACGTCCTGTAAAGACGACCAGCATGATAACCAGCAACGAGACCCATTAAACAGAAGAGAACAATTGCTGCAGACATTAATGACCCTCGACTTGCTGGTGATAACATCCCCAGCATAGCAAAGAAAACCGTAATAGCGACCATACCAATAAGCTGAATACCTGTACCAACAAAATTTACCAAAAGCATCGAACTAGAAGGAGGACGAAATACATCACCGTGGACCAATTTCCAGCCAGATTCTTCTAGAGTGTCATCCTACAACTGTGACAATTATCCAGAAAATCTACTTGCCGTTAATCAATTTAAAAGAAAAAAAATAAAAACTAAATGGAGTTAAAGATACGAACCAACTCTTCGCTTTTATTATATTTTGCAATATCCTTTCGCACAGTTCGAACAATGATAACGCTCAGGAAGCCTGAAAAAGCAAAGTATTAGTCTACGCAAAGTATTAGCCCTAGTGGAAATCAAAAAGAATCAATTCTCTCGCTGATTATATTCCAACCAAAATTCTCATAAAGACGAACACGATGTAACTTATAATCAGATAAGCATATTTCATACATAAACACAGTGTTCATACCAAATAAACACAAGATGACAATGATTGAATTTACGATTGAGAACCAATGGATGTGGACATCTTTCATCGACAAATAAGCATCCCAACGACTAGCCCAAGGAACATCGCTTTTTTCCCAAGTCACTGAATAAGTCCAAATTATATTGTTTATACCCTCTCCCACTTCCTGGTTTTTCCCATCAGTTACTGTACATTCCTGAAAACATACACGATTAAATGGTGCATAATGATTTCATACATTGATCAAAGTACCCTGAGTTCACATCGTCAAACTCTTAATGACGTGAAACGAAAGGATTAACCTGTTTCGAAATTTGGGCGAATTCTACAAAACCTTTTTATTCTTATGTAAGATGATGTAAGTAATAGAGTAATTGACTGACACACGTCACCTTACGAAATATACGGAAATGTTATATTTTAACAACTGTGAAAAAAGTCAAACCGATGAGTCAGAAGCAAATTTAAAACGACTGCTATCAATACTCTGTGGCTGTACTTCGAAACCAACAACACGATAAACACCCGGTCTTGGTTGATGATAGCGCAGAATTATGTCAAGATGATTATTTACATAGTAACGACCGTTATCTTCCCATCCAAGGCGATAACCATTCTCATAAATCACTTCATTTGTACTTTCAATTTGATATCTTGTAATACATGGAAGATTATCAACTAATCTGAAACTTACAACTGGGTTAGATATCAGGAAACAAATTTATAGCCTAAGAAAGAAACCTAGTGATTAAGAATAAGTCTGCAATATCAATGCTTTATATCGAAATCTAAATAAAGGATAATTCCAGTAAATTACATGCCTGGCACTACAAGCTGGCAGTATAATCTGCTTCACCTAAAATTATTCGTCTATCCCTATCCACCAGTTACTACCTCACTTACACAATATTCAATTTTTCAGAATTTTGCAAAAAACTAAAAGTGTATCTAACCATCAAATTGTAAAATCATATACCCACTGCAACAACGAACAGAGCTGTACTTACAGGTGCACGTGATATTCCTCCTTGATCCTCCTTGCCAAATTTTCGGAATTCTCCGGGCTAATAGATACCGGGATATGCGATGAGCACGTTGTGTTGCATTTTATATCGCGTTTCATAAATATCTGCAAAGTCTTCAAAACATTAAAAAACATAAGCAATCATTACGCTGTTCTTAACACTGAAGTTTTTAGATCCCTCAGTTCTGTTTTTCCCAAATTCCATAAAATTTAAAAACTAACCGCAAAAGGTGTATTTACGATGCGGTCACCACGCATTACCTCACCCAAATTTTCGGAAATATAATGTATTGCGCCTTGAGGACGACAAAATGGCAACGAGTAATATTCATATGGTACTATTGTTTTTGTCGACGTTATTTTTATGCCCTGAAAATAAATTCATTAGTTCCATAAGCCTTAAAACACTACCTTAATCAAATTATTTCTTCTCATGTTTGTTAGGAATTTGCTAACATCTCAAAGTAACTAGCGCTAAGATAAGACAAAATTGTGAGAACTAGAAGTCAAACTTGACTTTTCATATAGTTCGCCGCAGTTCTGGCAGAAACTGCTCAACTTCTGTTGCCAGCGATACAGTTTATGTTTTTACCAGAAATGATTGCCTAATGTTTCCCATCCACAAACTATGCCCATATTAGGACTAACAAACCCATCATGGAAGATAAACCTATGACAATATTACAATCTTCGCATTCTTGAATCCATGCAAATGAATGTTCCATTTTTTTAGACCAGTAAATTATCCCAATGATATTTTCAAGCTGGATCATTCACATAGGGTACTGCTTAATGTATTAAGAGCCAGTCGATATTTAATAATGAACTACTATTAGAACCGAGAAAATCCAATAAGATCGTCTCTTGAAACGAAAGCACGAATAATCTGAACAAAACCTGACCTTAACTTCAATTGGATCATCATCTTTGAATTCAACTGGTGCAACACCGGGAACATAAAATCCCTGTTCAACATGTAATAAACTACAAAACTGCAGAATCACAAACGTAACATAGTTTCCTTCTCGCATTGCTATTTAGTTTTCACTTTATTTGGAAACATAAAAGCATTCACACGGACAACAACATCACCTGAAATTTCAATTAAAACCTTAAGACTGAGCTGATAAACTCCTTCTAACCCAAAAAGTTTCGACCAACAGCACGAGAATACTACATGAGATTGTGGAGGAGCGAGAAATATGTTAGTTGAACACACGTTTTGCTAAGCAAACGATTTTTGTAATCCATACTTGATAAAATCATTCTTATGGAGAAAAACGATGACTGTTGATAATCAGACATCAGAATTTCATCTGACGTAACGGATAACGATCACATATCTATTAACTAACAAGTTATGTGGTAGAAACTGTGCTTTTCAAACACACTGTGAAAACCGCGTTTCGAAGTAATTAATCAAGCCCTTCACTCGATAAATAGCTGATTTACACTTAAAATTTTAGTAGCAATTTAAAACTTTAGCGGTAATTCAAATATTTAACCGCACAATGTGGCGGAAATAAGGTGGAAAGAAATGAAAATTCAAATCATATTTAATAATTTATGCATTAACCACAGAAAATCAGCAACATTACATGAAGCAATTTTACCATACATTCTATGGAGAGTACTAGAAATGATGACATACTAATTGCATGTGCTTATAGGACACCAATTACTCATATTATTGGTAATCGTTGTGTAATGAATTCTTTAACATCAACAAGTTCCTGCAAAAGATTGTATTTCAGATATTCAGATTGTATTTCAGATATTTCAGATAAAATATACAAAGTTTTCAATCATATTTAATCTATTAAAGTTGACTGCTAAAAAGATGTCAACTTTTCTATACCTTCGACGACTCATCTTCAATCCAACTACGGTGTGGAAAAAAATTTTCCTACGAAACAAACACCACGTTTTACTTTAAAAAAAGTGCAAAATCAACACAGTGTAGTCACAGTAAATTTCAATAGTCCTACATAAAATAGCAATCCGAGACGCTAACAGACGAATTATCATTTAACTTTTGAAATCAATGCACTGGTATCAACCACTAGGAAGCAGATACCTCGGGACAACTGCTATGCGCCATTCTTGGGTAAACGTTCAGAGTTATGTTTGGATTGAAAGCTTTGATATATGCTTCTGTCATTTGGCCAAACGAAAGAGGTACTAAGAAATCCTGACCACCATGCCCCATGAATATCTGGACATCTTTATTAGCTATATGATTCTGAAATAAAACAAGCATCCTCTGAACCGATGATCAAAATTTTGACGAAGGCATAAAAAAGATTAAAAGCTTACGAGCATGCTGCAATAAAAAAGCAATTGCCAACGTTTTCTAAAGTTACTGCAAGCTTTTAAAAAACTCTAAATCGCAATAGATACAGAAATGGATCAAATTACGAAGAAGAATGAAAGCAGCTTTTTCGATGGGACAGTTTTCAGCAATTAAGTGCGTAAAGAAATATGTGCCAATTTCTCGAAATAACGGTAGAAATCCTTGCGCAAGAACTTACCCGTGATTAAATTGAGATTAGCGTTAAAGTGCTAAAATTCGACCTCCATTATAACACTACTAAATGTCATTCGAAACTGGGCAATTCTAGTCATTGAATTCACTTTTTTGTTTATATCAACGATTGTTTGCCAACAAACTTACACCAGGCAATTTTTTTCGTTGTACCAAAAAGGAACTGAGACCAATTATTCCGGCAAGCGGTTTATCATATATTAATCCGGCATAGAGTGCTAATGCACCACCCATTGAAAACCCACCTACCATTATACGTTCCGGTGGAATACCAGAATCAATTTCCTGAAAAATTCGAAAAGATTTTGGACTTAAATTAACATAATTTGAAGTCAAGCTAAAATCGGCGATTCGGAGACAGTACAATAAGTGTATGAGAACAGATCAATGACTGTGCACAAGACACGAATATATAGAAGTATCCATGTTCATCTATATGAATAGAGATAATTTAGTAAAACTCACAGCATCAATCAAGGAATGTACGATCATTGCCGATTCATCGATGCCTTCTTCATCTTCATCCGCGTTCGGTGTTAGTCCATATAAATCATACCATGCCGGCATTTGCATGCCAAAATTTAATGTAACCGCTCTTGTTGGACTGCAAATTTCGTTCGTTAGACATTAAGCATTTGGACTGCTTTTTATAAAACAATCATAAAATATGAAATAATTAAACCTCATCTCATGCGCTGTCTCTGAGCAATAAGCTGTCTTCTTTTTTTGTATTCACCGTAACAAGAAGGACACAGAAGAAGAGAGCCCCACTAAAAACGTGGGGTGCGTAGAAAAGCTAATGAAAAAGCAGGATGGCAATAGTATGTTTTTCTTGAACTCATCAAATAATGACAAATACCTGTAATATTACAATTCTAGATGTTTTATACACGCACACTATCAATCAATTCCCACACTCTGTGATTTTTAGATTCAGTCATCTTTATCTTTTGGCAGTGAATCTCTTTCCACAGCTGAAGGGTCAAAAAATCTTCTGTCTAGCGTAATGTATTTGGTGCTATTCATATGGTAATTTCCATGCACATTATTTTTAAGCCCTGCTAAGTTATATTGCTTGTTTTTCATCAAAAAAGTGAAACTTACGCATGCGGACAGATGTATTTGATATGGTCATGCCGTATTTCATCCGCAAAAACCGAAGACCACCCATGGCCAGTGTCCCCGAGACCGTGAAGAAATATGATCTGAAATTCAAACAAAATTTTGCATTGGTACCATTAAGTGTACACCTAGGAATCCACAAAACTATGCGTGATCAGTCAGCATAATTTTAAGTCGGTTCCATGCTCAATTTTCACTGGAATTTCTGATATTCCTTCATAACAGATCAATTTTACTACTCTAGGTTTCCGACAATTATATTCAAAGGATACCAAGCCGGTTTTGCTTTCACTACTCTGCTTTGGTCTTTTTATGATCAATCCTAAAGGATCACTTATCTGTACTCCTCCATTTTGATATATATATATATATATATGGTTCTCCTCCTCCTGGGTGTAATACGTGAATAACTACCAATACCCATACGTGTGATACCTTCACATGACTAAGATCATGTACAACCTTCATGTGCAACTACAACATCATACATGCTATTTGCCATGACAATTTTTAGCTTTAACATTTTTACACTGACATCATAAGCATCTCATTTTGGCATATCACATAAGCTTTTTAGGTATTCTGTGTAATTAAACATGTTACATACAAGAAACATTCATGCATGCTTACAGTTGCCGTATGTTTATTACGCGCAGGTACAACGACCGGTTCAGCCATCTCCGTATGCAGTTTAGCCCTTGAATTACAGGATCCTGGGAGACAACAGTTGAAAAGACCCAGCAGGAAACGATTTGATAAGAACGATGAAGTACTTCGTGTCCCTCCTTGCATAGAATTCAAGTAGCGCGAAGAGTTTTGTCGATATGATTTGGTTACCGTCCGATTCAAGAGTGTAACTGCAATCTAATGAGAGTGAATTTCGGGACAAAAAAAAAAATTGCTACACATTATATATTTTATTTCCGCCCCAGAAGAAAAATAATTCTATGTATGACTAAATATAAGTATTGAATATGAAAGAATTTCACTACAGCTTAATATAAGTGAACTTAGAAAAAAAAAATAATCGCATATCAACCAATTTTTTAGACAAATGAGGAGTAAAAGGAAACCAATGAAAACTTCCCAGTACTGACCATCATTACAGATAATGTCCCATTACAAATAATCTGTCTTATCAGCTATAAAATAACATCGACTAATGTCAGTACCAATCACAGTTTCAACATTTCTAGTAGTCATACTTAATGCTTGAAAAAGATTGCCAATTTTTGAAACTCAATCAAAAATATGTGTTTATGAGTGGAGATTCTGAAATAAAGGATTCAAATTTTAGATCCTGAAAACAAAAAAGAAAGTTTATGTCTTAAATTTGGAAAAATTTTAAGTCATAGATTCTGAAACAAAAATTTCAAGTCTTAGATCCTTAAATGAAAAATTCAAGTCAAATTACGTGAATCATATCTGTAATGTAAAGTCCTAATCATCATATTCCAAATCTTGTCAATAATTATACCCACATATTACTACGCTAGAATACGTTTCCCTGATCTCTGCAGAAAGCCGAACCATCCGTTGCAGCATTATTCCATTCTAAAATTGGACCCACCTACCCGCCACGGATTTCATTATCTTATTAATTATATTAATTTGAATTAATTTAATCAGTTTCTCACTCATTTATAGCTAATTTTTATGCATAATCAAATATGTCTGCAATATAACAGACAGTATTTTAACCAGGAAAGAAAAAAAACTCGAAATCGTTATAGCAATATTTATAATATTCATGTACAGCAACTCTTACATATTATATTATATCAAGTAATATCAAATACAACGTATCAAATAATATCAAACAAATAGCATATGATAGAAAGATATATTCGTCCAATATTATGTGATAAAGGCACATAATATTAATGAAACGACACTTAACAATGTCATTTATGATATAATAATCGAAATGTGTCCCTTCAGCTTTAATAATCCTGCGGAAATGATCCATCTGGTAAGACAACCAAACTCTCAATTTCGCATATGATTTAAAAATAGTAATTCTAATCGTGCAGTCAGAAGATTATTTGCTTAATAATCAAGCTTTCATATCATATCCACTTTCTCTCATACAGTCGGCTTAATTGGTACTAAAATACCAAAAAATGAAGCGGTGAGAAAAATCTTTTTCCTAATCAAATTGTGAAGGTTTTGTCAAGTAAAAGCTAAAGCTGACGACCGTACTTGATAAATAGTACAATTAACACTTAATTTGCCATATGAAATGGGCAAACCATCTTATATTTTATAGGAATTTCTTTAATGTCTACACTTTCCGACATTGTAAACAGGAAATGCCCATGCTAATATAGCCCTACATCAGAGGAATCACCTCAATTCCTTTATTGTCGAGGATCAGATCAACAGCTCAAACGTTCAAATTTGCGAGGAAACATTGCTCATTACACGATCTATACAGATAAAATCCTGCGCTCGCTAATACAGAAAAGGAATTAATTCATAAATAATAATTCGAATATTAAACCGTAAAACACTAAAATTAATATTTGTTAGAATTGAATAATTTATCCGCTTCGGATCATTCACCAAGCGGCACGATAAAATTAATTCAGCAGTAAATATGAATTCTCAAATAATTAACCAGATAGCAGAAACAAACAATCATGACGTGAATAGTACCAGAAGGTTAGGAAATAAATAGTACCAGAAAGTTAAGAAAAAACAAAAAAAAATGGTATAGATTCATTGCTTTATATTTGAATTCATAAAAACGTCAATTCTTTCAAAGAAATTTAAGTTAATAAAAGGAGCACTAGGAAATAATTCTTAAAATTCTAATTCAAGTTCCATAGGTTACGGACTATTCAATCAGTGGAGTTGTACAAATAACAACATGAAATTCTGTCACAAAACCTACTTACGATTTTGTTTAATACAAGCCAAACAAGCAACTGAGATCTGCAGTGTAAAATCATCAACTTAAATCTCGATCAAGCTGATGAATGAGTTCAAATATTTAATGCTTTTTGCCATTAAGCAAATAATGAAGACTGATCAGCATGATCAGCAATCCGACAACATGCCATGAAGTCCGCAAGTGTCTGCACTGCTGCGCTATACTCATCCTGAACACAGTAATTGTTTCAGTGGGTTAATGCATTGGAAAATTATTTCTGATCATCATTTATTAAAACAGATTCTGAAAACATTCTAATAAATCAAATGCACTCAGAACACTTTAATAAATCAGAATATTTAAGCACCAATAAATGTGCTGAAGCTAATACCTCCACGATTAATAACAACAAAGATTTCGAACATACTTCAGCACCGCGGTAATCGAGAAGTGCCACGGCAGAGACGACTGGCCATTTATTTACAGCTCTACCTAAGTCATTTTTCGAAGATATCCAAAGGATATTAATGTGGTTGGATGCACACATTTCCTTAATTGCATCGATTTCAGCAGCAAGTTTAACTGTAAATAGAATATTCAATTTGCTTTATGTTTGGAAATTACAGAAAATGAAGCATTGTAGTCCTCAGATGCTTGTCAATTCGCATTAATAAAAAAAGGACTTCATAATCAATCAAATAACCAATTAAGGATCAAAATATGGAATAAAAAAGAAAGCAACTGCCCCTAAAAAAACCATCTTATTATATCGATGGGATGAAAACCTTTTAGATTTCAATTTTAGCAATTAAGCTAGGTCCACTTCAATTTTTATTGAACTGAATCAACTCAAATGTTTATTCAGTAATATAAGAAATCACTTCAACTGAGCTACTAAAAATCCAAATTCAAAACACACTGCATTTATTGGTTTCGATATCGCGCGCCAATATAACACAGCGTACTGTTTCAAGCAATAGCTGCTTTCGTACCTCTCTTAAACCATAAACTAATCGATGCTTTGATTTTGCCTACAAAAATTTGATAAACTTACCAGTTGCTACAACCTTGTTTTATTTATTTTATTGGGAAATCTTTTTCTGCTTCAACTGTTTCTTTACCCAGTTTCCGATTTTCCCCAACCTTATTATGGCAATGTATTGGTATAATAGACATATATGGCTGATACTAAACAGTTTGGAAAAAAGTCATTACATTATTTAAAAGGAGGATAAACCTAATCGATATTGCTGCTATTTTGTAAACAAATTCCTTCCCATTAAAATGAAAGGAATTTTAATCGAATCACATATTTCTTAGTAATTAAAAGAAGAAACATGGAGCGGGAAGCGAAAAAAAAAACTAAGGGAAAAATTATTAAAGAAGAGAGGGAGATGTGACTAAACCATCTAAAATTCAAAATAATTAAACCTTAATGGGGTTTTTTTTCCATGCAGAGTCCTGAAATTTTTTGACTTTTTTCAAAAATCGTATTACGGCTACGTCAGCATCCTTTGCGGTTAAATTGAAGGGATCAAATTTATCTGATTCCACTGTTGTGTCATTCTTCTCTTGCTTTCCCTGGAAATCTATCTTGCAAACAGTAAGTGAAGTATCACAAGAAAATTGATTTAACTTAATTTTAACGTGTGATAACCCACTGTATATTGCCTTGTTAGAAAGGTTTCTCTAAAATTTTTAGAATCTTCTTTTTCTTACAGTTTTCGCATTGATTATTTCGCTCCAAAAAAACTAATTCATAACATATTTTCTGAAGTTCAAAGGAAGTCGGTAATACAATAACAAGTATTTATTGTGAACGACGCGTAGAATTAGATGGAATAGTATGCTAATGACCTTCAGAAAAGTGACTTCATGAGCTTATTTACGGAATTCGATGCATCGTACTGTCCGGTGTGCAGCTGTGTTAGTACCTTGTATTAAAGTTGACAGTGGCAGGTTAGTGACCCCGAAAGCAATGCTTATTCACATTGTCTCAACTAACCCAATGATTTCGACAGCTTGGTTAATTGGTATACAATTTCTACGTGGCAAACTACATCCCGAATACTTGGATTGTTTAGAATGACTAAAAAAATCTTTGAAAATCCTAGAATCGACAAAATCTTGCAGAAAGAATAGGGTACTTTAAGTGCTGTTTCAGAATATATAGTAAAAAAATAAGTAAAAAACAAGAAATTTTCAAAAGTTCCAGAACGCGAAATTTCAAAACGACAAGAACCTTTTGATGTTTTGCACCCTCCTCTTTTGTTGCCAACGATTTAGGCGTAATAAATTCACCGAGTAAAGGTTTACGTTTCAAAGGATTACGAATAAAAATATCTTTCTCGTCAGATTCGAATCTCTTCATTAACCATTAGTGAGGAAAATTTATTTTGGGAACGCCTCTGAAAATAGGAAGAAATATTGCAGAGAAAAGATAACTATTTGTAAATAAATTACTGATGATTTGAAATAATAACTGCGAAGATATAAAGCAATAAACTAAAAGTGAAATTAGTGAAAGCAATCTTTAAAGACTTACGTGAAATGTTTTTGTAATTCCTTCTTGCAACAAAATCGTCAATTATTAACCCTCAAATTTAATCAATTAAACTTTAAAATTCGATCAATTAAAACTTCAGAACTACTATTTTTATTTAAAAGATGCGTTCCAACAAAGGTAAGCAAATTTCTTCACGTCAATTAAAGACAACCCAGAAAACCGATGCCTGAAACAAGTTGCATTTCACTCGTTGTTTCGCATCCATATAGCTTTATAGTTATGCAATTATTTTGAAAAATTTTGGGTTCATGTAGTGACACTGTATTTGGAGTTAATAGTTGGATACTAAGAAGCAGTGGGACTTTCACTTTTTTCATTAAGTTTTAAAAATTTGTGGTCAAAGTTCAATTTTTTTCTGCGCTTCACTTTTTTGATTCTATAATTTTTGTAAATTTATTTTCTCAATCTCCTATTCATGCATAACATTTATGCTAAAAATCATTTTAAAAATTTCTAACTGAACGAATGTTTTCAGTCTTTTTCTTTTTTTCTTTAATTTTTTAAAAATTACATTTTATTACTTGACTTCTGTTTTTTTAATCTCTGAGAAGGAAACCGAAATAATGGACAAAATAAGTCGGTTAGAGAGGAACGATTGCATTTTCAAATACTTAATTAAAAGTTTGTTTGAAAAGATCACATTCAATTAGTTCATTTCCTCAACAGATATTAATTTAAAATTTAGGAATTATAAGCTGGCTTAATCAGAAATTTGGTAATTTCCTTTTTTAAAGCAATGATTTTCATTTTTTCAGCATACATTTTCCCATCGTAAATGAAATTATTTTTATATTCCTTTGGAAGGAATTATTAGAAAATTGCTTTAGTAAATTAAAAATTCTAACAGATTTCGGCAAAATTTCAAAAATCTTTAAATTCATACAAATGACTAATTATCTAAGCAAAGACAAGAATTAAACTTTGGTTTAATCAAAATACAGCTCATTCAATACTATCGTGATATTTCCTGCGTGAAATTGTTTCTACCTAATTTGCACATTTCTTTATTTCCAATTAATCTTTCATGTATAGCTTAAAATTGTTTCTAATTACATTTTCAGTTTCGATCTTAATTCAATTTTCAGTACCGATCCAAGTTATTTTTTTCTGGTGTTACATTCAGAAGAGAAAGGTTAGCATAATTTGAATATTTTGCTATGAACAGTCCAATTTGCAATTATTTTAATTAATATAATTGTTGAAAGTGAAATAGTCACAATTGTCAAATTATCACATTTGTAGTTTCTCACATTGCAATCTGTCGTCCATTACTAGAAAATGAACTAATTATTATTGAATTGAAGTGAAAAGAATTTTTTTTTTCGAAGGAGAGAGATAGAGAGGGGGTCAATGATAAAAGGTCAAAAAGCAATGATAGTTGGTAAACATTAACAATAAAAGATAATGAATGTTGTTTGTTGAGATGTAATAATTGAGCATCAAGTTGCAAGTTTTTTTTAAAAATTATACTAAAGTTCATTAGTTGTTTTCAAATATCAGCCTTACTTTTTTATCTTTATCGATATGCAAATCATTGTAATCTAATTATATACATTCTAATTGATAATATCAATATCATCTTTTTTTTTCTCATTGAAAAAACTGGAAGAATATGGTGACACAATTTTTTTGTTGTTTAATTTGCTTTATTTTTCTCAGAATTGTTATATTTGATTCAATTTATGCTGGTAGTATCCCTAGACTAATTTATATTACAATTATTTTAGGATAATAACTTTATAACATAATAACTTTCATTCTAAACCCAAGATCAAGAGTTGTTGGGATTTTTGTTATTACAGGCAATTATTAGGCTTTCGTTTTTATGCAAAATATTATGATATAAGTAAGTCATATTGTTCTTTAATAAATTCTTAATTAAATAATATTTTCAGATATGTCGGGAAATTTTGACGGAAGTATTAATGATGTAAGTTTTAATTTAAATTTCATTCAGTCTCACTTATTTTTATCCCATTATTTGTTACTGAAATGCAAATGAAGGTTGTATGGTTGCAACAGCAATACATTTTAAGAAATTTGCATAAGTAGATGAAGAAAAGAGAGTTTGTTAAAATAATGAGAATTGGATAATTTCGATTAATTAGAGAAATAAGTTAATGAATAAATAAGTTAATTAACGGGTGATATGATGAATCTTCCTGCCATTCTTAGCCAAATGCGACCGATAACGCAGGTTCAATTCGAGAAGCAGGTGGTGCATTTGGCCGAATGGGAATTGCTCGAGAAGAGCAATATTTCTATGATCAGGTGATCATTTCTATCAATTTTTATATAACGGAAAAATTTTAATTTAAATTTAAAAAGGTATATTCGAAATATATGGAGCGAATTTACGTATTTTCTTCGATAACTTTCTTTTTTTCACGATATAAATATTTTGGATGAAGAATTGAAAACGCATATTGATTATTTGAAGCAAAAAGAAGCGATGAAAAATTTGAACAGTACTTTAAAGAATGTAAAAGAAGTCATTCATTCGAAGGACACTGATAACGAACACTCGGATCAATCCAATCAAGCAATCAGATCATAAATAAGGTCAAAGATTCATTTTTCTTTTTTTAAGATTTCGTTATGATTTTTTCTACTTCGCCACTTTGATTCATATAATTTTTTAGTTTTATCTGTTTCTTTTTTCTTGATAATTAACGCAGAAATTGGCTATTCCGGTTAAAGCTCTTTCCGCTTTTACAAGTTGTGGTGATGTATCGTACATGAGTAATCATCATACATATATATATGATCCAGTATGATTATTATTGGAATTTGAGATATGATTTTCCTCTTCCTTAATTTATTGATCTTTATTAAGTAGAGACAATCAAAGCTGTCATTTTTTTTTTGGATTTTTGCATGTCTATTTTATAATTCTGAATGTTTATATGCTTCTTGTAAATTTGTTTATTAATTGAGTCATCTCTTTTTTTGATATTTGTGCAATTTACAGTGCAAAATTCGTTCTAATTTAGAAACTTTGATACCTTATTGCAATTTTTGTAAGTGATATAAATTTCAATCCTAATGAGAATTAGGAAATTTTCTCCCAAAATTTGCAATTTTTAAGCAATCAACCTTTTGTAACATTCATCCACTCTTCGTTGCAATCTTTTCTTCCTTTTTCATTTGATTAATTCTTTTTGTAAATCAAAATGATCACTTCAAAGTGCGCATTACTTTGTAATTTTTCACATTAGTCTATTTTAGGATCAGGATTAAACTTTTCAAGGTTTATCACTCGGATCATAAATTGAGATTTGCAAAAGAATATTTCTCATTTGAAAAAAAAATCAAAAGAAGTTGAAAAAGAAAAAAAAATTGGAATAGGCGAAAAATTCTTATCAATAATTTTGCATAAAAATCAATCAAACAAGTTGATATTATGTTTTCGAAAATTTCCCTGTTGTATTCATTGATTTCATGTTCGAAGCAGAATGTTAGCGAAGTATTAACTCTTATCCATTTATTCATTATCACTGTAAGCATTTTTTATGACAACTATCACATTACTAATTATTCGCCATTATCATTATATCATTATCATACAATACATAGCATTTATTTCTTTGAAATCCATCAAATAATAAAAATAAATGACAAAATTTGCGAGTCACTGCGACAAATGAAAGAGAATTTATTTGATAACAAAATTCCGATTTTTGTTTATAATTTTCTAAAAATGATTGAAAAAATGATGATATTGCTAACATTTGTATCAATTGTTAATACTTAGATTAATCCATTTGAAATGAATTTTTACTTTTAACTAATTCTTTAATTAATTTGGTTGAAATTTTTGAATAATTATGATCAGGAATTAATTCTCATATATTTGAAATTTTAATTGAAATAAGTATAGCTTTTAAGAAGATTTAATTATTTTGATCATTTATTTCAATTAACAATAATAAAAGTCATTGATAATATGTCCTGAATATATCAATAATATAATTTATTCATCCTATTTTAGCATATACATATACAGTCTAATCATTATATGTCAAATCCTATTTAGGTGACATAATATGACATTTAGGCTACAATCCTGTTGCAGTTCCATCCACCATTATTGGCTTCATCGATTGCGCTATTTGCTTTTCTCGTCTATTATTTGGTTGACGATATTCACGATAACGGATATTTTTACGGATTGATTCATTGTAAAATCGACGAGCATATGAAAGCTAAAATAAAATATTGAATTAATTTAAAATCAGAAATGCTATCTTTATTTCTTATCTTGAAATTTCGAAAATACTTCAAAATAAATTTAAAAAATATTTTTAAAAACAAGAAAAAAAGTTACATTTGTTGGTAGAAAAATATTTTATAAAAATTTTTTGAATAATATTTTGAAAGCATACTCTATTTGCTTGAAACACTGTATGACCAGATTTGATTTCACCTATTGATTTCTCTGAAATTTGAAATTTAATTTTTGTTTCTTATTTTACAGAAAATATTTATTTCATTAATTGTAACATAATATTAAGATATTTTTAATACGTTTCTTCAAATTTATAAAAAAAAAAAGTAAGAAAAAAAATAAATGAAAATTTGTATCATTTCAACTTTCTTTTTTTTTTTTCTTCAAAAACATACTTGAAACACAATAATTGCCATAATTTCTAAAGCGTCCAGTGATATTTTTCAAGAAGATAATTTCTAGAATATGATCTCCTGAAAGTCTAACATTTGTGCCATCACAATCTAACTCTTCACATTTTCGTGCTACTGATATGATTGTTCCATTTCGTAAATGTCCCAATACCCGACCTGTACAGGTCTGCAAATAATATTACTAAATTTGGGCTTACATCAAAATGACTTAAATTAAGTCTTTCTATAGCTACAATTTATCATATTTGTAAAATTTATTATTCTTTTTATGTAAAGAAGAGATTTTGGAGTTGCTAATAATGATAAATTGGATAAAATTAAAAATATCGAATAGTGATAAACCGTATAAAATCAAAGATAGCTAAATGGTGATAAAAATGTCCTGTGGTGATAAATTATATAAAAAAATGATGATAAGCCATTAAATTCTCTTATAAAATCAATGCAATCAATAGTGATAAGTTGAATAAAATCAAATTATCTAATAATGACAAATTACATAAAATCGAATTACTCAAATGATAAAAATTATGTAATGATGATAAATTAAATGAAATCAAAATATTCTATGATTGATAAATCATATAAAATTTAATCTATTAATGATAAGCTTATATAAAAATTAAAGCACCTAATTACGATCTGTTGTATAAAATCAAAATGTTCAATAACAATAAGTTAATACGGTTATAAGTTGTATAAAAATTAACATATTTAATACCGATAAACTATATGAAATTAAATTTAATAATGATAAATCATATGAAATCAAAGTTACCTGATGATGATAAATTGTGTTAAAGTTACCTGATGATAATAAGTTCTGTAAAAGTTACCTGGTGACGATAAGTTGTATAAAAGTTACCTGGTGATGATAAGTTGTATAATAGTTATTCTCATAATCAGTTTGCTTTTTTGCATTATTCAATCCTTCTATTCTTTCAGTTGTCTGATTAAATGTTTTATCATTTTTTCTTGTCCAACCACTTGATGAAATTTCTTTAAATGTCTAAATTTCTCATAAAATTACCAATAAAATCCTTATCAGGAATATCAGGAATTAGCAACTTAACACATCAACCTTATATCAATTTGAAAATATAATTACAACTTGTATAAAAATCAACATATTTAATACTGATAAACTGCATGAAATTAAATTCAATAATGATAAATCGTATGAAATCTTATATCAATTTGAAAATATGATTATAACTTGTATAAAAATTAACATATTTAATACTGATAAACTATATGAAATTAAATTTAATAATGATAAATCATATGAAATCAAAGTAATAAAAAAAAAAAT